GTCAACTTTAGATATCCATGCTGCATGAACACAACCATTACAATTTGCTGTGAATGGAAGAAAAAAGTTGACCTGTTGCACATGATACGATTAAATAATCTTGTGAATCTGGCTAGACAAACAACATAGAAGACTAAATCCAGCTCCAAGTGTGAACCAGCTTGTACCATCTGAATCTCAATTTTCTGTTCTTGTCATTATGTAGGAAACATCTGGTGTGATCCCCCATTCCTGGTCTTATTCTTTAATATTTTCCTCTGATTATTATGGCAATAGATGGATGTGGTGGCTCAGTGGATAAGATTCTGAGCTTGTCAATCAGGTTAGTGGTTTGAATCCCTAGTGCCGCATAATGGAGTGAGCTCCCATTACTTGTCCCAGCTTCTGCCAACCTTGCAGTTTGAAAGCATGTAAAGATGCAAGTAGAAAAATAGGAACCACCTTTGGTGGGAGAGTAACAGCATTCCATGCACCTTCAACATTTAGTCATGCCAGCCACATGACCTTGGAGACGTCTTCAGACAGGGCTGGCTCTTCGGCTTTGAAACAGATGAGCACCACCCCCTAAAGTCGGGAGCAACTAGCACATATATGCGAGGGGAACCTTAACCTATTATGCCAATACTTAGCATTGCTTTTTATAAATTCTTGTGCTGATACCATCACAACTGCCCCCATATAGGATGGTAAACGGAGATAGTTTGGTGTAGCAGTTAAGGCATTAGGTTTTGCCATCTTGAAGTATTTCTACAAATAAAGATATAGATACATACTGCTGGTTACAGAAATGTCACTAATGCATGTGTAATCAAGTTTTAGTATTAAATGAACCCAGCCCGTTATTCAGTAAAATCCAAACAAATTAATGTATAAATCTAGCCACCATTATCCACCCCACCCAAATTAAGTACTGGAAGACATTTTTGAGCCTTAAGCCAAGTTCACCTATCCTGCTAAAACCTTTGTTTGAACTATTTACTGTGTGATTTAAGGCCCATGGAATCCTCCCATCATCCCCCATCAAACTGGCTCACATGCATATTTTATAACCAGATTGTTACCCCAGAGGCTATCTTCAGAGGCAATCAGGATGGAGCAAAAGAGTCCCAACTGACTACTAAGAAGTTTTGTACAGTTCCATATAGAAACTGATGCTTGTATTTTGAAGCATTGTTTCTCCTAGACCAGATGTGAGGATCCTGTAGTCCTCCAGATGTTGCTAAAATGAAACTCAACATGTCTCATTAGTGGTCATTTGGTTGGAGTTGGTGGGATATGTAGTTTACCAAAAAGTAGAAATAATGGATAGTTCCTAGTTTAGTCCTGTATGGAAGCAAATAAAGGAGGCTGGGAATATTCACATCACATTAACACTTTCTCTGCTTGGTTAATGAGAATCCACTCCCAGCTTTATTTTCTTTGGCTCTTTTATCTGTGGTTTGTGGTTTACTCAACACCTCATTCAGGATATTAATCATTTATAGTTAACATGACAGAGATTCCATTCACAAAACATCTCAAATCAGCTATTCTGGGCTTGCAAATGACATTGATCCATAAAATAGCCAAATGGGCCAGTTACAAGAAATTAACCAAGCCAATCCTTCCCAGTTGCAATGAACGACTGTGAAACTTGGACCATAAGAAAGGCTGAGCACCAAAGAATGGAGACCTTTGAACTCTGGTGCTGGAGAAGACTCCTGCGAGTCCCTTGGGCTGCAAGGTGATCCAACCAGTCAGTCCTAGAGGAGATCAACCCTGATTGCTCTTTAGAAGGCCAGATCCTGAAGATGAAACTCAAAATGTTTGGCCACCTAATGAGAAGGAAGGAATCCCTGGAGAAGAGCCTCATGCTGGGAAAGATTGAGGGTAAAAGAAGAAAGGGACAACAGAGAATGAGATGGCTGGATGGAGTCACCGAAGCAGTCTGCATGAGCTTAAATGGATTCTGGGGGATGGTAGAGGAAAGGAAGGCCTGGAGAAACATTGTCCATGGGGTCACGGTGGTCGGACATGACTTCACAACTAACAACAACAAAATCCTGACTATACTCCGTATTTGCAAGCTCATGGCTTGATCTGGTGAAGGAGACTAGGTGAATAAAGATATGACTAATCTTAGGGTCGAAATTTGATTCCTGCTACAGAACAATAGCACCTCTTAGTTTGGATAACAGGTTTGGCAGCAAACATGTCAGTGAGCCACATCACTGGGAGGAGGATGGTGTGCATTCCTAACTGCCTAGAAAGGTTTAGAAGTTGTGTGAATACACATGCCGGGTCCTAACAGGCGTGCAGAAAAGAGCCACAAAGATGATAAGAGGTTTGGAGGCTAAACCATATGATGAATGGCTAAGGGAACTAGATATTTGGGCTAAAAAAAGCTTAGGGGGAGACAAAATAACAGCCTTCCAATACTTGAAATGGCTGCCACAGGGAAGAGGGGGATTTATTCTCCATAGCGTTGTGAGGGCAGGACAGGAAGCAATGAGGGAGACCCAACCTGGAACTGAGGAGGGATTTCTGACAGTGAGAACAATTCATCAGTGGAACCGTTTGCCTCTCAAGAGTTGTGGGTGCTCAATTGCCCATTTCACTACAAAGTGACTCTGGGCAGCTTATAGCATTAAAAGAATATTAAAACCATCAACCATAAATATTCCTAACCCAATAAAATGACAATACCCATCAAGGTACAGTCATGCCCCATTTATCAGTGACCCAAACACCTGATTTTCCATTGCATCTCACTTTAGTTGCATCGAGATTTGGGTGCAACTGGTCAACTTAATACATATTTAATGCCTCCAGAAGTTGTGAGTGCTCCAACACTGGAGGTTTTTAAGAAGAGATTGGACAACCATTTGTCTGAAATGGTGTAGGGTTTCCTGCCTAAGCAGGGGGTTGGACTGGAAGACCTCCAAGGTCCCTTCCTACTCTGTTATTCTACTCTATTGGTTGGGGGTTTTCATGAAGAGATTGGACAACCATTTGTCTGAAATGGTGTAGGGTTTCCTGCCTAAGCAGGGGGTTGGACTGGAAGACCTCCAAGGTCCCTTCCTACTCTGTTATTCTACTCTATTGGTTGGGGGTTTTCATGAAGAGATTGGACAACCATTTGTCTGAAATGGTGTAGGGTTTCCTGCCTGAGCAGGGGGTTGGACTAGAAGACCTCCAAGGTCCCTTCCAACTCTGTTTTGCTGTTAGATGTTCGTGCAGAAACATCTGCAAGAAAACTACCAA